AAGAAAGAAAGAAAGAAAGAAAGAAAGAAAGAAAGAAAGAAAGAAAGGGAAAGAGAGTAAGAGAGGGAGGGAGGGAGGCAGAGAGGGAGGGAAGGAGGGAGGGAAGAAGGAAGGGAGGAAGGAAGGGAGAAAGAAAGAAAGGGCAAGCAATCCAAAACTAAGACCACCAGGACACTTTTATCCTGGTCTGGATCTTGTGCAGCCATGCATGAGTCACTTTCCTCCCGTGGAACTCAGACTGCTGCAGCTGCATTTGGGCATTTCCCGATGGACAGACCTGTGTGTGGTTTGGCCAGCAGCCAGCCTACTGCCCATAGTTGTGACAGGTCCGTGAGTATTTGACACCACAGAGGGCTCACTCTTCCTAGATAGTAACACCCTTGTGTGGGCACCTGAAACATGTTTCAAAGGAGCCACCTTAAAAAAAAAAAAAAAAAAAAAAAGGAGCTACCTTGCCAGGGCATGCCCATAGCTATAGACAGCTGGACTAGCCCCAAAAGCAAGCAGGTGGCAGCAATGGCCTTCAACCACTGGACGCACCATCTGGGATAGACAGTATCTCAGGACAGGCTCCAGTTTGACCATCAGCTCTCACACTCACAAGCCTGGCAACCTTAGCCATATTTCCTCAGTTTCCCTATCTGTACAGTGCGGCTTAGACTAGTAGTTCTCAGCCTCAAAGAACAGCTCACGGGTTTTTAAACAGGACAGTTGCAAGGCACACCACAGAGCGGTATGCCTCTACTTGTCAGCCCCCGTTCCTTTTATATCCTTCCTTTGCACTGTAGGGTCCCCTTGCCCATCACCCACAGGTGTCCCCTAACCCTCTGCAAGGAACCTAGGCCGCTTCCTGTAAGTCGACACTGGTGGAGCCAGTGAACCCAGGAGCAAACCACCTAGAGGTCCCACAGCACAAGCAGCAGCCCCCATCCTCCAAGAAGCTCTTTAATCTCTCTGATTTTTCCTGCCCAGGTCTCAAGGTTCTGTCCGGAGAAGACGGATTTGAAGGATTACGCCCTTCCCAATGCCAGCTGGTGTCCAGACATGCTGAACCTATACCAGGAATTTCTGGAGAAGACCAAGACCGATGGCTGGGTCAAACTCCCCTCCTTCAAGTCCAACAGAGACCACATCCAGGGGCTGAAACTCCCATTTGGGTTAGCAGTTGCCTCAGGTAAGGCCTGGCCTGGGAGGGCCTGTGGGCACATCTGCTCCCCAGGCAGATGTGCCCACAGGCCCACCGGGGGGTTCAGCCAGTCCCATTCACTGTGTTGACCCTCAGGACCCTCAGGAAGGAGATCCATAACCTCCCTTCTAGTTCTCAGCAGGAAGTTCTTTCTGTGTCTGACCCAGGCCGGTAGAGAAGAAGAGAAGAGTATTCCCTCTGATCTCTGGTTCTCTCCTCGCATCCGAGAGAACACAACCTAGTGTTGGCCTTTGTTTCCAGCCAAGAGCCACCCCTTGAGCACAGCCTTTAACCCCCTACCCTTCTGCCTTCCCACTGGGTGTTCTTCCTATGCCGTCAAGCTTTATCCCAAGTCCTCCTCTCCACCCAGTAGGGGCCCTGGGGCCTGCCTCCCCCACTGTAGGCCTCAGCGTCCCCACTCTACTGGCTCCATAGCCAGGCTCCCCAAACTCCCACCAGATCAGACGGATAGAACTTTCCACCTTCACCTTCCTTCATGTGTGTGGGTGCATGTATGTGTGCCTGTGCACACACATGTCCCTGTTTTCTTGTCTCTCTCATTCATGCCTGTGGTTTTCCGGCCCACTGATGAATCTGTGGTATGGTAGGCACATGACCTTTGCATTTATGCCACAAAGCAGGTCACCACATTAATTTTTTTCAAAGAATTTTATGTCTACCAAAAAAGGATGTAGTTGTTGTAGTAGTCATCTTGGGGAAAAAATCAGGACTTTGGTGGACTTTTCTGTACTTATTTTACTGTTTTTTTTTTTTTAAGATTTTATTTTTAAGTAATCTCTACACCCAACATGGGGCTCAAACTAAAACCCCAAAATCAAGAGTCATGTGCTCTACCAATTGAGCCAGCCAGGCATCCTGATTTTACGGTTTAGTACTATCGTTATTTTGAATTATATGTGCAGTACATGTTACATTTTTAATTTCCCAGGTTTAAGGTCTGTTAAAGTCTTGATCGGGCCATGAGCCTGTCTCTACCCCTCAGCTAGGGAACTTCCTGAGTGTTTTCCCCTCCAGACCAAGGGCTCCCTGAGGAAAGGGCAGACTCTCCACTCTCAGATTGAACGCTCCTTGAGGGCAGAGCCGGGGCATCCTCTGGTTCTCTCCTGGACCCTGTGCCTAAGACAGGGCTCCACCGTGGTGCTGAATCCCGACTAGGCCCCACACACTTGTGCACCCACTTCTTGAGCTACAACACTGCCCATCTCTCCCTAGACAAAAGCGACTGGCGCATCTTCACCAGATGCATCCAAGAGGAAGGACAAGGCTACGAGTATGTCATTTTTTTCCACCCATTCAAGAAGAAGTCCATCTGTCTTTTCCAACCTGGCCCCTACCTGGAGGGGGCCCCAGGGTAAGCCACAGACAGAGCCTGGGTGGATGTCCCTGGCTGCTTTCTGGGCTCGGTTCAGATGGGCCACACACAGGGCCCCAGAGTCTGTCCCTCTCCCTCAGGAGCTGGGGGATGGGAGGGTGGGCACTGGGTTTCTGTCTCCACACCAGGCCCGGAAGGGCACTCTGGGTCACCTGGTCCAGGTCTCATTGGGCAGATAAGGAGAGCCTCTGTATGGAGGTCTGAAATTTTTTCCAGTGAGAAGGTGGTCTTAGAGGCCACTTTGAGAAATGTGCTGTGAACTTGGAAGAGGACAAGATCTGGAGCCAGGCTTTCAGTTCTGTTCTGCCTTGCTGGTCTTGGCACCATAAGCAAGCATTTCAACCTCTGGCCTTCAGCCTTCTTACCTGAAACCTGGGGCAATAATATCCAGCTGCCAGAATGACTGAGAGATATGGTATTACAGGACCATGTCTATGTACTCACAAATCATATGACAAAATGTTAGCTCTCAGACACCATCTCTCCAGACTTCATCTTTTGCCTAGGGGCAAACACAGAGATAAGGTAGCACAGCAGCCCACGCAACCAATCAGGTCTCTAGTCCAGGATCTGGGACTCCAAGCCATTGATCTCTCCATTATACTCTGCTGCCTTTGAACCTGGGATAGGCCCAGGAAGGAACTCACACTAGGTAAATTCCACAAGGGAAATCAAGCTGGCCTTGAGACTCTTGCCCAAGACCACTGAGCCACCAAGTCCATGGTTGTCCACCTTCTCCTGCATCCCTGTTCCTTCTTTAGACAGTCACTGAAGCCTGCTAGTGGTGCCAGAGTTCCTACAAGAGAGAAAGAATGGTGGGGGGTAGCTTTAGGGTCTCAAGGCCTGGGAGAAACTCACAGTTAAATTCAGAGATCTTAATAGATGTCAGCACCTCCACAGGCCATGGATTCAGACTGCAGCCCTTGGCCACCTTGGCCATCCCAAAGGCATCTTCCATGAGGACACTGATTTTCCCACTGAGCACTGGGGGACTAGGTCAGAGCCCTACACAGGTCAGGAATGCCTGTCGTTCTCAAAAGGAAAACTATAGAAGGCAGGGCTGAGGAGTGAAGTATAGCTGATTTTGATTTAGGGGCTCATGGAAAGGCAGCAGAGGACCACCCAACACTGAAGCCAGTGGGTTGAGTGGTTCAGAGAAGAGATGAATACTGAAGAGAAAGAAATACCCAGTTCAGTCTATCTACTGCATGGGGGTGGGGGCAACAGTTCTCAACTACTATGTCTTTTTCTCCTGTGCATCTCCTTTACTGCTCACACAGGACACTTCTGATAGCTCTGATCACCAAATGGGTAGAGGCTTTTCCCCACACCAGGCAATTCTGGGACACCAGCTGGGTGTCCTACAATTTGACTCCATTCTGACACCATCTACCTGGAGACAGCATCAGATCCTACAGGGTAAATGCTCAGTCCACAAGACTGCCCCCCACTGCGGACGCCAAAAGCAAGTGGCAGGTCGCCAGGTTCCCACAACTTTTGTCTGACTTCGCTATGTCGGGAAGCAAGAATTTCCCGTCCCTTTCAAGGGTCCTTGCAGCTGGACTAGGAATCAAATTGACCTGAGACAGATTAACAGGAGAAAGTCAAATTTAATATTGTACATACAGGAAATTCACACAGACATGGGAATTCCAAAGACAGGCAAAATGAAGCCTATCTGTCATCCTGAACTAAGGAGCAGGGGGCAGGGGTCTGGGACTTAGAAGGGAAGGAATGCACTTTGCATGGTAACAAGAAGAAGAGCAGATGTTTGGTAATTAGATGCTTATCCTGCCTTACAGATGGGTCACTCAGGTAAAACTTATCTCTGGTAATAACCTTTACTCTGGGAAAGACTCCCAGTTTAAATTCTTCTATATAGTGAAGGAATTCCACAGGGTCTCAACTGCCTTCAGCTCAAAATAATATCCATGCTTGAGTGGCCCATCCTGGGGTAGCTTGCCTTGGCCCCTACAGTTACCAGTCAGAGTTCTCACAACCCCCTCCTCATGCTCACTTACTTTGCTAGAGAGGCTTCCAGAACTCAGGGATACACTTATATTTACCAGTTTATTAAAGGATATGATAAAGGATACAGAAGAACTGCCAGATGAAGACACACATATGGCGAGGTCTGGGAGGGTCCTAAGCACATGCAGGAGCTTCTGTCTCTGTGGGGTTGGCATGCATCACCCTCCCCCGGGCCTGTGTTTGCCAGCCTGGAAGCTCTCTGAACCCTGTACCATTGGGATTTTATGGAGACTTCCTCACCAGGTGTGATCCATCAAATATTCCATTTCCAACCCTTCTCTAGAAGCTTCTAATCATGGCTTGGTCTTTCTGGGGACCAGCCCTCATCCAGGAGCCATCCAGGAGCCTGCCCAGAGCGACCTCAGTAAAATAAGACACTCTCATCGCCCAGGAAATTACAAGGGTTTCAACAGCACTGTGCTGAATCCAGGGCAGAGACCAATATATATCACCTATCTTATCATTGCCTATCCTAGGCAATGAGGAGGGCTAGGTTGCGGGCTGGCCAAGAGCTATCCTGCAGAATCCACAAGCCTGTCAGTGGGTCCCTGTTTGGCCAATGAGGATGCCAACGGAAGAGCAGATTTGGGGTTCTTTGGCACCAACTTATTTTCCCCTCTTTAAAGCAGGGTGGAAGTAGGGGGTTTTATGAACATTACTTCATGTGATCTGCTGAAATAGGAATTATTTCTATTCAGAATTTATAGTGGAAAAACTTAGGCTCAGAAAAGCTTAGCCACTTAGCAGCTCAGCAACTTAGCAGCTTGCTTAAGATCAGACAGGTAGTGGGAGGTGGGGCAGGAAGTCAAACCAGGTGGAGGGTGGTTCCACAGCCTTCCAGCTCTTTCCCCTCCTGGTGGTGGGAACAGGAGGGTAATCCACGCTAGCACAGCAGGACAGCTGGCCTGGTCCGTGGAGAATCATGCTTCTGGAAATCAGAAGCTTGAATCTGTCTCGTGTTATCTGCATTCTAGATTTTGGCGCACTTCTCTTTTTCCCAACCTCACCAACAGCAAAGCAGCTTTGGCATAAGGTCGGCTTACACAACTGAGATTGAGAAATTCTCTCGCACTAAGGAAAGCAGGTGTTGGCAGCAACCTGCCAAAGGGGGGCCCTGGGCCTTCTGCAGGCAGGACTGCTCAGGAGGCTGTCCTGTTGGCCCTGTAGAGAACATAAGTTACAGTTCACATTTCTCTGCCTTGAAAATGTGGGCTCGGCCCTAGATGTACTGATGGGTAAGGTGGGAGCTGGCCCAAGGCCATGCCCCGGAGCCCACACTGAAAGACACCAGGCATTTTCCAGGCCCTGTACGAGCGCACCTTTCCAAATGATGGCCATTTCTGCCAGCCACTAGGTGATGAATAAGAAAAAATGTTTTCCCATTAACTTTACCGGAAAAACAACAAGAACAACATGTTTTCCTGGCAAAATAAAAGAATTATGTCCGATGGTTGCTGACGCCTTTGAAGGAACACGGTAGAAAAGCTGAAGTAACTGGGACCAGTTTTATGAGCTGGGATGCTGCTCTGCTTCGTTTTCTCTCCCGTAGAGAGGCAGAGGCAGGGCGGTTCCACGTCGGGATCAGGGAAGGGGGCGGGGAAGTTTGCGCCCCCGCCTAGCTCCTGCCCCACCCCCAGGTTTGCACATGGAGGGTCCTTGGCTGCCCTGATGGACGAGACTTTCTCTAAAACGGCTTACCTGGCTGGAGAGGGGCTGTTCACAGTAAGCCTCAACATCAGGTTCAAAAAGTAAGTATGGGTCTTTGGGGCCCTGGCCAAAGTCATGCCCTTTTTATCCTTGAGGAGTGGCCATGCTCAGCGGTGGTGGTGTGGGAGCCCTGTCTGCTGCCCTCCTTCCCCAGCCACTGCTCAGCCATTCCTTGGGTCCCAGTCAGAGCACAGCCTCTGCTGTCAGACTCTGGAAGTCTGCAAACGGGGCCCTGAGTCCTGAGTCACTTATTCCCTGAGGCAGAGTAGAATAAAGAGAAGGCTGGGGGAAATGGAGGGGTGAAGGGATGGCTGCTGGGGAGTCCTATGAGAGACGGGCTAAACCACCTCCTTTTCCAGCTTGATCCCTGTGGGCTCTGTGGCTGTCCTGAACGTTGACGTGGAAAAGATCGAGGACCAAAAGCTTTACATGTCTTGCATCGCCCAGAGTAGGGACCAGCAGACAGTCTATGCCAAGTCTTCAGGTAAAGAGGTTCTCAGCCTCAGCCCCCTGCCACCATCACCCTCAGGGCAAATGGAAGGAAGAATGCTGATGATGCTGTCCCAAGCAGGGACCAGCTTTTTAGAGTGGGATGGGCACCTGGAGAACCAGGCTAGGGTGGTGGTGGTGTTTTTTTTTTTCTTTTTTCTATGTATGAGTGGCCTGACCTGTTTCACAGGGACAGGATCGGGCGCCAGATAACAGGATGCAAATGCTCAGGGCACCGCATCCAGTTCCTGCCATTCAGCCTGTCCTCTTCCCCCACAGGTGTTTTCCTTCAGCTGCAACTGGAGGAGGAATCATCCCAGTAATAGTCACTAAGCCTTCCTGCTGACTGCCTTGCCTGCTAGGGACCCACTACACAGCAGGGAGGGGTCCCCAGGAAGTGACTGGTGAGGTAAAGGAGAGGGTGCACTCCTCTGAATAAATAGATTTATGGCCTCATTCTCAGGCTAAGACCCTTCTGTGCCCAGAAATCAGAATCCTGCCAGCACCTCCCATACACCTACTTTCCCATTCAGCACCAAGAGATCTCCTGGGCACCTGCAGGTTCCAGGCTCTGGGTGAGGCACCAAGCACACAGCAAGGAAAGACTTTAAAGGGTGTAGCCTGGTGGTGGTCGGTAAGGGCGGGGCCAGGGGGGGTCGGTGCATGGGACATAAAGTTTTATTTTTTAGAAAGAGAACTCTGGTGGCAGTAAAGTGAGGGTCAGCAAGCCCGAAGGTGGGAACCCTGGTTGGGAGACCCCAGTACGACCCCCAGCTAGAGATAGTAAGGGCCTGACATGGGTCAGAGCTTTGAAGATGAAAGAGATGGAACATGGGACAAACAAAAGAGCGTGGGACTTTTCTGCTAATTACATGTCATGGACTGGTGAAGAGCTCTGCAGGATGACACCAGGTTTCTGGCCTAGGAATTGCAACTGGCATTATCGGGAGTAGAGAGGAGCAGTTTTGAGGTGGGGGTGGATAATGAGCTTAGTTTCCCACCCATGGAGCTTGAAGTGCTCGTGGTGTTTTACCACATGGCAAGCACCAGCGGGAACCTGGATATTATGGTCTGGAGCTCGAGACTGATGAGCAACTGACTCGGTCTGTAAGTCATCAGTATAAAAAGGGACATGGAACCATGGGGAGTGAAGCATGCAGAGTGAAAGGAGGGAAAGGGGGGGCGAGAAATGAAGGATAGGGAAAGGGTCACAGATAGAACTTTCAGTCACACTAAGGCTTAAAGTTGGGGCAAAGGACGAAAAGCCACCAGAGACTGGGGATAGGACAGGAGTGACCATTCTGAAGAGGAAGAGCTCAGCAGTGTCAAACACTCAGGAGAAGGCAAGACAGATGAGGACTAAAAATAGGCCTTTGCCTTTGGCAATGAGGAAGATGAGGGTCTTCTTTGCCACGTGGGAGCAAAATCAATATGGTAAGTGAAAAGATGGGTGGGAATGACAAGTGAATCTAGATGATTCTTTCTAGGAATGTTGTTGTTATTGTTGTTGATGAAGTTATTTAAGGAAAGAGGGTTGACTATATTTATAAATTGCTTTGGAAGGAGCTAGTGGAGAAAGGCTGACACTCTAGGAGGGAGAGAGGTGTCATTCAGCAGAGCACCTATCTGGTCTCAGAGATGGATTGAGAGCACAGGTGGAGACAGCATCAGTGACTCTGATACCAAAAAAGGAATTAGTAGAAGGGGGAGTGCAGAGTAGGGGGGAGGGGAAGGAGCTTCATGCCAGAGGACTTCAGCGTCCTCAGTGAAACAGGAGGCAAGGCCCTCAGTGAGGAGAGGGGTCTGGAAGAAGAGCAATGATTGCCATACACCACTGTGGGGATCAGAACAAACCGACCAGGTACACATGGGCCAAAGCATGCAGAAGGCCCAACTGCTGGTGGAAAATGGGGGTCTGGAGTGTACTGACCTGGGATGAGCGGAAGGTGGGAGCCAGCTGGCAAGACTACGGGACAATGGCCAGTAAGCCAGGCAAGGAAACAGCGGTGACTGAGGAAAAAGAATATGGCTGGCACGTATTTTTAAGAAGGAATGGTCTGACATGAAGGAGAAGAATATAGACTGAAGGAGGAAATCGTCACCAAGGAGAAGCCAGAGCCTCCTCTGAGCCTGCAGAGGAGAGAAGTGGGAAACTGAGCAGCGGCCTCCAGGACGGGCAGAATGCCATCCAAACTAAAGGGGTGCGGGTGAGGCCCAGGAAGAGTTCAAGGGCTTGAGAAGTTTTACCAAAGAATGAGAACTCCAAGGGGGCATATCACAAAGGACTTTATTATCAAGTGTGGTAAAGCCAAATACTGAGACAGGTATACCTTTACATCTCTGAAGTGTCACCATATTTTTTTTTAAAGATTTATTTATTTATTTGACAGACAGAAATCACAAGGAGGCAGAGAGGCAGGCCGAGAGAGAGGAGGAAGCAGGCTCCCCGCTGAGCAGAGAGCCCGATGTGGGGCTCGATCCCAGGACCCTGGGATCATGACCTGAGCCAAAGGCAGAGGCTTTAACCCACTGAGCCACCCAGGCGCCCCTCGTGTCACCATATTTTGAATGGACATAAAGTCCAGCTGTTGATGTGTAGGAGTCATTCAGGAATCTGGCAGACGGAAGCTCTGTTGTCTTTAACACATGACTTCCAAGATCATCCTGATGTTGACATCTAGTTGCCAGATGAGAGAAGAGAGAATCATAACAGAGGTGTTTGGGGACCAAGCCTCAAAATATTTCCATTGACCAGAACTCAGTCACGAGGCCCCACTAAACAACAAAAGGAAATTGATTGGAAAACATGGTCTAACTATATGTTGGGGAAGAAAGGGAAAAGGTTAGGGTGAATAGCTGGTAACCATGGTCTCCGTTTGAGAGGAGGATCAGCAAAGGAAGGAAGAGTCTATATCCAAACCCTCACCCTGGAAAGTGAAGAATTCAAGTTTGGGCCTAGGCTGAGGTTCCAGGAGCTGGGGCCTCTACCCTGGCACCTCTAACAGAAACAGGCACAGGCTGGAAATCTACAGAGCTGGGAATGTCTTGGGCAAGACCCTACAGCAGGGCTGGGAATATCAGGCTTGACTGGATAAAGCAGGCAGGGATCCTGGTAAGGGAAATAAGGTTATCGGCTGCAGGCACACTTCTCTAGGCTCTAGGGCTTTGAGAAGTCCCTCTCCTTTCCAGGAGGTCAAGTATCACAGCTTTCTAGGTAGGAAAGGGGAGCTGCTGCCTCCACACTTGAAAAAAAGTCATCGGAAATGCAACTACTCTAAAGGTAGATGGAATGGAATCCACTGACCATCCTGGCAAATGAGGCAGCTTATACTGCTTAAAGCAGAGGATAGGGCTGCCTGGGTGGCTCAGTCAGTTAATCGTCTGCCTCTGGCTCAGGTCATCACACCAGGCTCCCGGAACAGAGACCCTCCTTGGGCTCCTTGGGCTCCCTGCTCAGCAGGGACCCTGCTTCTCCCTCTCCTGCTCTCCCTGCTTGTGCTCTCTCTCTCTTTCTTTGTCAAATCAATCAATCAATCAATCAATTTTTTAAAAAACAAAAAAACAAAACCAGAGGATATGTTTTCTCCAGGTGCCTGAGTCCAGTGCCAAGAGAACCGAAGAGTGGATAATGCAATTGTAAGAGCAACCAGTTCAAGAAGGCAGGAGATACTAGCTCATACCAGCTCTTAAAAAAAGGGCTCCTAAGGCCTTCCTGGAACTTGCAGAGCTAAGTCATTCATCAAAGGTCTTAGGTAAGGAGCCAGAGCTGTAAGACACAGCATATCATCAACTCCATCACCTGCCAGTGCCCACAGTGAACATTGTAGCAAATCATGCTGAGGCCACTACTCAAGGCCATGGGGCAGAGAGCTTAGCAAGATCCAAAAGCCCAGGGAGTCTTATAGTACTTGCCTGCCTAGTTGGGAGAAAGTCCTGCCTGCCTCTTCATCAGGCTTGAACCCAGATAACTTCTGTAATGCCCAGTCTTCCAGGGGTCCCTCTACAATGGCACCAGCAGGAATAAGGCAATCAGGGCCCTGGGTCACATGTGATGTTCTCCAGGAGTGGCAGTGATAGTGCTGGTGGAGGCGAGGAGGCAGCACTCTGGGCCTCATTGAAAGGAGCAATTCTGTTCCAATTCAAAGACCTCTAGGGTTCAAGAAAAAAAAAATGCTCTTTAACATAGAAGATCTAGCTTCTAGCCTCAACTCTGCTACTATTTGGCACATCATGGCATTCTAGCTCTGTTCCTTGTTCTATAAAAATGGAAGGACAGGTGAGGTGACATCTAAGTTCCTTCCAGGTCTGACATCTTGTTCTCGTTAAGTTGATCTGTGGTTCCTCTGTGTGCCAGTCATTTGCTTGATGGTTCTCAGATCCCTCCTCCTCCCCTCCTCTGCCTTGGACTGGGCAAAGCCAGTGCCCACAACCTGGGAAACCAGGCTGCACTGTCACTCGTCTTTTTTTTTTTTTTTAAGATTTTATTTATTTATTTGTCAGAGAGAACGCCAGCGAACACAAGCAGGGGGAGCAGCAGACAGAGAGAGAAGCAGGCTCCCCGCTGAGCAGGGAGCTGGATGTGGGACTCGATCCCAGGACCCTGAGGTCCTAACCTGAACCAAAGGCAGACGCTCAACTGACTGAGCCACCCAGGTGTCCCGTTGTCACCGTTGAGAGGTCTTTGAGAGGCTCTGGTGACCGGTTGGAAGGCGGGAAGTAGCAAGAAGTTAAGAGAGTTCTCCCCTTCTCTTTGCTTTGAAAGGCTATGTCTCCAAGGTCCCAGATTCTGCTAGACTGTCCTCACCAACCTATCTGCCTTTTTAGCTCTTTCAATACCTTCGTAACAAGTTCCCTGTGTTAAACTCCCTCTGTTGAACTGCCCAACAGGTGCTGTTTTCCTCATCTCACCTGACCCATCTGAGGCAACCAGGCTGTGAATTATCTATCCATACTCCGTTCTCAGTCCCACTGCTGTGCGACCCAGGCAGTGGGTGTGCTTGTATGTGCCCTTGATTTTATCCACCAAGAGAAGGAAATGGAAGGAGAGAGGGAACCAGAAAGTGAACTATCAATTAATGAGCACAATCCTGAACCAAATCTCTGCCCATTTTCTCCCTGCATTTGTACAACTGAATACAGCTAGAGAAAACTCTCACAACCATGCTGTTTGGTTGCAGCATAAAGTTACGGCTGCTATCCTCCAGGCAAGCCTGCAGTACTGCCCAGCTGCCAGCTTGCATTTCCCTAGAGCTTTCAATCCCCTGTCCTCCTGGGTGATTGTTCCTTTCCTGGTACCTACCCAAACCCTAGAGTCACCTCCTCCTCCAGCCATCATCACTCTCAGCTGGTAACCTTGCATCCTGCTTCATGAGCAATTAGGAGCATTCAGAGAGAACAAGCTCCCACCACCCACTCCTTCACCTTCTACCTCTACTCAGTTATTCTACTTTCTCTTCAGTAACTGGGTGAACTGTCTGCATAGCAGGCAAAGGACAACCCCCAGATTGATTTCCCATGCCCAAAACCTATTTCTTTGTGTCTACTCAGGAATATCGCTGCATTAATTCTCGTTTGTCTCTTCTGCATTACCAATTTCCTCCTTTCTATGGAATCTTTCTCATCACTATACAAACATACCATTATTTCTGTGATTTAAAAATTTCTCTCTTGGGGCGCATGGGTGGCTCAGTCAGTCAAGCATCTGCCTTTGGCTCAGGTCATGATCCTAACATCCTGGGATGGAGCCCCATATCAGGGTCCCTACTCAGTGGGGTGTCTGCTTCTCAGTCTCCCTCTGATCTTCCTCCTGTTATGCTTACTCTCTCTCTCTCTCTCTCCCAAATGAATAAATATAAAAAAATTTTTTTCTCTTGATTCCACTTCCCACCCGGACCACTACCCCACTTCTCCCTGCTCTTTCAGCAAATTCTTCAAGAGAGGTTTGTTGGGGGTTTGGTCTGGTCTTTTTTGTTTTGTTTTGGTTTGGTTTTGGTTTTAGTTTTGGTCTCTCTTTTCCCTAACATTTCTGCATCCTACATCCTACTCTGCATCCTACTGCTTCCACCACTGCACTGAAACTGCTGCTAGCATACTCGTGACTTTGCATTGCTAAATCCAATGATCAGTTCTCAGTCTTCATCTTACTGGATCTTGCCACAGCATCTGGCACAACTGGTTCCTCTCCCCTCTAAGTGTTGGCATGCCCAGGGCCTGGGTGGTTCAGTCGCTTAAGCATCTGCCTTTGCTCAGGTCATGATCCCAGGGTCCTGGGATGGAGTCTCACATCAGGTTCCTTGCTCAGCAGGGAGTCTGCTTCTCCCTCTGCCCCTCCTCCCATTCGTTCTCTCAACCTCTCTCTCTCTCTTGTAAATAAATAAAATCCTTAAAAAAAAAAAAAAAAGTTGGCATGCCCAGGGCTCAGTCTTGAGCCTTGAGCCCGGGATCCTTCCTCTTTTCTACCTATACTTCATCAGGTCTCTTGACTTTAAATTCATTCTTCATTTCTCTTGGTGCCCATGCTTATATTTCCAGTCTGGACCTTTCCTCTGAGCTCCAGGTTCGTATATGCATCTGCTTATTCAATGTCTCTATTTAAATGTCGGCAGGCATTTCAGACTATATAAAGCTAACACTGAGCTCCTAATCTTTCCTCTTCTCAGCCCATTCTCCATTCTTCCAGTTGCTCGGCCCAAAAACCTTGGATTGTTCTTTTTCTTTAGATGGGGATGGATCCATTTATTGACTTGATCTTCAGAACAGATCTAGAAACTACTACAACCCTGATCTATGCCCCAATCATCTTATGCAAAGATTAATTCATTAGTGTCCTATCTGGTTTCTCTAATTATGCCCATATCCCCTTCATTTTGTTCTCAACATAGTCACCAGGCAACCCTTTTAATACATGGCAAGTCATATTACTCCTCAGCTCAAATAAAAGCTAAAATTGTCACAGCAGCTACAGGTCCCAACAACATCTGGCTCTGTTATCCCTCTGACTCTACCTCCCCCTCACTCATTTTGTTCCAGCTCTGCGGATCCGTTTGCCTCCTTGAACACTCCAGGCATGCTTCTGCCTGAGAGCCTCTCATTGATGATTCCTTCTGCCTAGAATGCTTTTCCTTCAGAAACCCTTTCTCTCTCCATGTTGTTAATGAAATGTTCCCTTCTCAAGGTGGCCATCCCTGACCACCCCATTTAAAACTGAGCGCTCCTCTATGATCCTTTATTTTCTTCCCAACACTTCTCATAAACCATACTTTTTTTTTTTTTTTTTACTGATTTTTTTCTAGCATCTTTTCTTCCTCTGCTAAAGTATCAACTTCAAGGTGCCTGGGTAGCTCAGTGGGTTAAAGCCTCTGTCTTCGGCTCAGGTCATGATCCCAGGGTCCTGGGATCGAGGCCCGCATCGGGCTCTCTGCTCAGCAGGGAGCCTGCTTCCCTTCTTCTCTCTGCCTGACTCTCTGCCTGCTTGTGATCTCTGTCTGTCAAATAAATAAATAAAATCTTTAAAAATAAATAAAGTATCAACTTCGGCTGGCTAGGAGATACATCTGTTTTCTCACTGCTATATCCTCCAGTCCAGCACAGTGCTTGGCACATATAGGTGGTCTGTAACTATAAATGAAGCCACAGAATCAAACTTCCCTGAATTCTACCCTACCTCTGGACCTCTCATTATAGAAGCCAAAAATGTCTGACCAATGCCACAGCGTGGAGTTCTTGGCTGCCGCACTCCGCACAGACCACCCTCCCCAGAAAGGACACCAGGGCCTCGCTGAGTCAGGAGCCATGGGACTAAAGGGTTTGAGGTCACCAGGGATCTCCACAAAAGAAACATATGCTCTTTTAAAACTCTCAGGTATCAGATGTCAAAATAACCATCTTGTTTCCTGCATCTTGTTGTTGTTTGCAAGTTTATTAACTGTCTCTTCCTTTAGCCTGCCTCCATTCTATGTATCCCCAGCACCTAGCACAGTGAATGGATGAATAAATTGATTCAGATATAATTCTGCTTAATATCATTAATTCATTCAACAAATCCTGACCTTGTCCTAAGTGCTGCCTTCATGATGCTCACAGTGTAATAAGATGTTAAATAATCACATACAAAAATCACAGAGGAGAAAAACAAAACACCTGTGACCAATGACCAATGACCCCAAAATATGGGGTGCTGTGAAAGTATACAACAGAAGTCCCTAATTTAGATGGGAGGCTGTCAGTGAGGGCCTCCAGATCTGAAGGATGAAAGGGGGCAGTCATCCTAGGAGTGGGAACAACCTATGCAGAAATCCTAAGGAGGGAATGAGCCTGAAGCCTTTGAGAGAGTGAGGGATGGTGGGTGCACTTGAGGGTCTCATCTTGCTAGTGGTGGCCTGTGCTTTGTGGGATCTGCCTGCAGGGGAGGGGACGGCAGGAGAGGCACCCTCCATGTTTCCAGTTTAACAGCCTTCTGCAAAAGACAAGGAGCACAGGCCAGCTGGCGCTTGACCCACTGATAGAACCAGCTCTGTCTTCAGTGTCTCTATGTCCAGAAATCTGAATCCTGGTAACTTTTCCTTGAGCCAGTATAGTTCAGAGAACTAGTCACACTGCAAGTCCCTCTGTCTGAGAGTTAATGTGATGGCTCCAGAAAAGAACAATGGGGCGGGGGGGGGGGGACTCCATCAAAGAGGGCTTTGCAGAATATGCAGTGTGTGTGACCATGACCATGGGTTTCACCTAGCAAGCCAAGGGTAGGGCCCGGGCAGCACAGAGGGAATGGAGGCCACTGCCCACTGATGACCTCCTTCTTCTTCCCTGCAGAGAGGGCCAGGGCCCAGGACTGGCTTGCTGCTAGAAACCTGGAGGAAGGAGTTAAGAAGGCCGGGCTGATGACCGTGGAGACAGAGCTCTGTTTATCCAGGAAAAGAGGTCGTGCGTAGGCAACAGAGGCCCCTGCCAGCTCCTCCCAGAAGGACTGGGCTGGGGGAGCAAGCTGGAGAGGAAGCTGCTCCCCTCTGGGCTCTGAACTCCTGCCAGCCAGAAGCCAGGAACCAGCGGCAGCCCACGGGTGAGGCCTGCCCTCCGGGCGTCTGAGCCAGCTGTGGGCTCGGGCTCCCAGGCAGATGGTCAGACGGTCAGGATGTCGCGGTCCCGCGGGTGGGGCGTGGGTGTGTGGTGAGGGACCAGCGGCGGAGTCTCCGGGAACCAACTCTCGGGGTGGCAGAGAATCAATACCGCCTTTGTGCTCAGTGGTTTCCTAGGGAGAGAAGGAGTGGAGTGGGAGTGGCGGCCCAACGGGCCCGCCTTGCAGACTCAGGATGCCCTGGGGCTGGGAGGCTGCGGCAGGACAACGAGAGGGCTTCGGGAGGAGGGTATTCTGTGACACACCCCCCCCGCACCCCCAGAGGTGCGTCTCCTTGGACCTGCCCTGGGGGCTCGCAGGGCAGCAGCCTGGTGTGCCTCAAGTCAGCTCCCGCGTGGAGCCACTCAGAAAGGAGAGGGAGGAGCAAGAGGAGGCAGGTGGGGCCAGGACCGAAGGATGGCTCAGGTTGAAGAGGCGCGCTCCTGGCTGCCAGGAAGGTAGCCGGAGCTAGTTTCCTCCTTCCTCTGGGAGGGGAGCCAGACAAGACCTAGGAGGGGAGTCTGACTTCGGGATGGGCGAGGGAGAAGGGGATGAGCTTGCCAACGGCCTCTGTGTCTCTTCCGGGGAACAGAATGTCCCAGCAGGGTTCGGGATCTGTGTCCGTGTTTGTGACTATGGACCTTTCGGTAGTTTGAGCATGTTCGTCCATTCTCCTAATAGTAGTCTAGAGTTTCAGTGGGTGTGTTGGGCCTTCTCACTGAGCATCTTTAGCACTAATGGCGTTGTCTGAGATCTCGGGTGCCTAAGGCCTGCATCTGCAAATGTGACTGTCCCATGCCCTGATGCCCTCCGTTTCTCCTCAGGCCCCCAGGCTTCACCCGCCCCCCTCCCCCTCTTGTTTTTCCTGCTCTGATAGGGGCCAGTGCGCCGGGGGAAAGTGCGGCGTGGCGGACCAACCGGTGTATGTTCGCCGTATCACCTACTTCGGGCCCTCTTCTGTCCTCCGCAGGCCTCCGCCGGGAACGCTAAATTCGGACTTTCCCCACCCCCCCCCCCACTGCATGTGGCTTTTGGAGAAAGCCGGCTACAGGCTGGGGCCCCCGGAGTCCAGGCCCCGATGGGCGCCCTCCAGCCTGCTCCCCAAGCGCCGAGCCCCGGGCCCGCCCGCGCGCGCCTGTCCCAACGTCCTCACTCCCGATCGCATCCCGCAGTTCTGCATCCCGCCGCGGCTCCCAGACGCTGGGGGCCCCGAGCCCCTGGCCGGGCGCAGCCTCCCCGCGGCCTGTTCGCTGTCCCACCTGGCAGGCCGGGAAGGCTGGGCCTTCCTGCCCGAGAGCCCGCACACGCGCCGGCGCGAGTCCCTGTTCCACTCGCCTCCGCCGCCCGCTGCCGCCGCCGCCGCGGGGGGGCTTTCCCCAGCGCACGGCTGGCGGCACGTCTCCGCCCCGGACCTGCGCCTCTGCCGGGCCCCCGACAGCGACACGGCCTCGTCGCCCGGGTCGTCGCCCTTCGGCTCACCTCGGTCAGGCCCCGGCAGGCCCCGGCCGCACTCACTGTCCCCGGAGGAAGCGAGCTCGGCCGACACCAGCCCGCACGCGCCGCGCAGCACCGGGCCGCCGCTCTTCCACCTGGACTTCCTGTGCTGCCAGCTGCGGCCGACCAAGGAGAGCGTGCTGCGCCTCGGGCCCCGCGGCGGCCAGCTGCGGCTCTCGGCCGAATACCAGGCCGGGCCCCGGCGGCTGCGCCTGCGCCTGGTGAGCGCCGAGGGCCTGCCGCGGTCGCGGCCCGGCCCCGGGAGCGGCGGTGGAGGCTGCTGCGTGGTGTTGAGGCTGCGGCCGCGCGTCCGTCCGCGGGGCCAACGGAGCCGCGTGGTCAAATGCAGCGCCAACCCCATCTTCAACGAGGACTTCTTCTTCGACGGGCTGGGCCCGCCAGACCTGGCCGCCCGCAGTCTGAGGGCCAAGGTGCTGGACAGGGGCGCAGGCTTCCGCAGAGACTTGCTGCTGGGGGAGTGTGAGACGCCCCTCATTGCCCTGCTGCCCCCCTTGGGCGGGGGGCTGGGACTGGGGCCCTCCCTGGCGCCTGCCCATCTCAGCCTGTAGACTGAGAGAATGTCTCTTCCTCAAAGAGATCTCCTCTAGGTCTGCGTATTCTTTCTTTTCGTCTGCCCAGCTTGTATTTATTTTTGCTAATAAAATGTCTGTTTTTAGCAGGATCTCGCCCCTTGTTGGCATCCTATGCTCCGATCTGCAGCCTACTCTTTTTCCTCTGCCTTGGCTACACCAGGGATGGAAGAAACTCACTTACACCGAGTTAGAGCCGACCTCAGGTGGTGGTTCTCAAACTTAAGTGAGCATTAGAATAATTGGACATCCGCAGTCTTGGGCTCCATCCCCAAGAGATGCTGAAGCATTAATCTTAATAGGTCTGGGCGGTGTAGGTCCTAAGGCCCTGTCCAAAAAGGCCTCCACCCCTTCAGGGGGTCCTCTAATCACTGAGTCACTCCAGAAAAAGCTCTGTGACTGAAACCAACATCAGCCACCTTTCCCCCAAGGGGGTTCCTTGGGGCTGCATAGGGGAAATCAGCAGTCCCCCACCCCTCTGCCTCCCCACTTGTACCCACGTGTGTCCTGAGGAGAAAAGAAATTTCTGTTTCTTGAGAATGAGTCAGGAGATGTCAGCACACAGTGCTGAGTTAGGTGTTTTCTCTCTTGCCTGTGCCTGTGCCACCCTAGCGGGCAAAGCTGCAGCCAAGAGTCCAAGCAGCCCTTGAGGACTGAATGGCAGAGAAAAACTGTCCCAGGGATTGAGATGGGAAGGGCGTCTTACCTGAGTGTGAGAGCTCTTCTCAAAGATGCTCTGAAAGGCTACCCCCGTGAGTAGGGGGAGGGTGGGGAAGGAGAAAATGTAGGTCACATTGTGTTTACCTCCTACCTGAATGTCCCTGACGTCAGCAGTGACCTTCTTCTCTCTCTGTCTGTCTCTCCACCCTCCCTGGAATTGGTTCCTCTTGGCTCATGCCCGACTTAGAGGAAAGAAAGAGGGATGGGGGTAAGGAGGGAGAGGAGGAGGAAGGCAATGGGCCAACCCAGCTTCTTTCCCCCTCCCCTTTGGGCCCTTTCTCAGTTTCCATGGTGCCTTGAACCAGAGACGAGCCTGCTGGATCCTGATAAAGCTCAGCATGAGTGGTGCTAACAAAACACAAACGTACTTCGCTCAGATCGCCGGGATGCCTTCTCCCTCCCCTGATTAGGTACCCCCACCAGCCGCCCCAGCCCAAGGCCAGGGAACCCTTGCTCCAGCCGTCCACCAGGGGGTAGCATTGACCAAACAATAAGAACGGCTAACAGCTACAAGGATTATCACCCAGCAAGGAACTGTTCAACAACTTGTCAACTCGTTTATTCTTCCCAGCAACTCCCTGGAGGGTTAAGTACTTTTGTTAGCCAATGTGACCTTGGGCTTTACTCCTATAGTGAAGAGTACAGTTAGGATTCAAACTCAGAGGGTCTGGCTCCAGACTCTGGGCTCTTAATACCCCACTATATCTCTAAGTGCCCGCTGCCACCTCCCACCCAGGTCACTCTGAAAGGTGTCTCCTCCTTCCCTAGAGGGACAGTGTTCCCATTTTTTTTTCTGTGAAATCACCCATCGATCTAGCTCTGTCCTTAATACTGTCCTTCTCCGTCAGTCCCAAATCCCCCCATCATAACCTTTGATGAGCAACTGGATTTGATGCCCATTTGAAAGTCCCTGGAGAGAAACACAGAGGTCATTTCACTTTCATTCATGCATTCCTGCAACACAAGGTAGGAAGGCCCCACTGAGGTGCCACTGATCAAAACAGACATTGGGATCAGACAAGTTACAAAATGAATAAGTAAAATGTTTAAAAGGAAGGAAGGAAGGAAGGAAGGAAGGAAGGAAGGAAGGAAGGAAGAAAGAAAGAAGAAAGAAAGAAAGAAAGAAAGAAAGAAAGAAAGAAAGAAAGAAAAGAGAAGTTAAGTTACTTGGTAAATGTTATGGAGAAAAAGAAAGCAGGAGGGGGCCTAGGAAAGGGGAGTCAGATAAAGGGAAGGGAAGACCACAGGAATGGATGGGCCAAAACATCATTTTTTAGCCACAGTTCTTTGGACCAGGTCCTGTAGCTTACCTGTGTTTTCCCAGTAATCATCACAACTGTTTGGTAAGGAAAGTACTGTCATTCCAGTCTTACTGAGAGGTAGATCAGAGAGGCTAAGTAAACTGGCCTGGGAATGGCCTGGTTGCCCGGAAGGTTTAGGACCCTGGCTCCCCCAGATCTCCCACCCCACCCTGCTGCTCAGAGGAGGCTGTGAGGTGGAGATTCAAAGAGCGACTCACTCAAGTCACAGCTATGAGCTGTTCCCCTGTGCTGGAGGCCAGGATCCCCAGAGGAACTTCTGTGTTCTGTGTTTCTGTGGCTGAAGTCACAGAAACATGTCCATGGACAAATACGGTGCCAAGAATCCCTCCTGTGTGCACACTGCTGGGGCCTCAAAGCCCGTTCCCAGGAGTTACTATCATCCTCTTTTACATGATGCGGTCATTGAAGACTCATAAATAGCAGGCCATGTTCTTATCCAAGTCTTTCAGCTCCCAAACTCTCAGCCTCCACCTTTCAGCACTCGCTGCTGTGCCCAGGCCTAAGTGATCACAGATGTTAATTGACAGATGAGTGGTACAGGCAGGTCACCATAGAAAGTTCAGGGCCAGTAGCTGGGGTCAAACTCCTACTGTTACCTCCACCCACAGTGGCCTTTGTGACAGGAAGGGGGAGGGGTGGAGACCTCGAGCTCTACAGATGTTTCTAGAGCCTCTGTTATGCTTTTTTTAATGGTTGAGGGAGGAGGGAGGTACAGCCCCCTGCCTGGATCACTCCCATGGGTTGAGGTCTCCCCAGGCCTGGACCTCCTAGAAAGGACCCAAGAAAAGTTGTCCTCATGATTGACTCAGGCTTCCCAGAGGGGGTGGCCCTGGAAGGATGGTGCTGGGGCAGTATGGGGCCTGCAGGCTGCCCAGACCCCACATTCTTTCCACACCCCCAGCCCTCCCTGGAAGGGCAGGCTTGCACTGAGCTTTAAGTGGTTTCTGTGGTTTAGAGGGTGGGGAGGAAGGGAAAACAAGTCGGTGACTGCTCCCCCAGTTCCAAGCCACCACCACCACCCTCTACCTCCTCCAGGCTGCTTGCCCCCTGCTTTGAGATTCCCCAGTCTGATAAGGGAACTTGGGCACGTGGGGGTGAAATGATTCTCTGATCCCTATCAGCCTCTTCCTTGCATAAGAATTGTAAGAATAAATTTGAGGAGGGGAAAAAAAAACCCAAACACTGCCCCCACTTTGAAAGGACCAATTCCTCCAGAAAAGGGGCTGTGATTGGAGCAGGAGGGAGGAAGATTAGGCATGAGGGGGGACTTCCCAAAAGGATGATCACAGTAACTTCTTTTCCTAGGGACAAGAATCCCAGGAATCCATGCTTGGGAAAGGAAAGAGGTAGAGATCCTGGAATGTCCAGAAAGCACATGACTTGCTTAGGCCGAGACACCAGGACCCTGTCTTCCAAAGTACCAGTCACTTCCTCCCCGCCCTACATAGTGGCACCAGTGGCGTGGCTGGGAGAGGCAGTCATACCTGTGGTTTGGGGGGTAGCCCGATAGCCTGGCATAGTGCCCCCAACCAGGAGGTCAGAAAGGGTCCTGGGAGACCCAGAATCACAGAGGAAGAGAGGCTGGAAGAGGAGACAAGACGGAGAGGCACGGAAAACAGAACCATAGACAGGAAGGGGCAGACAGGGAGAGACAGAGAGGATCCTGAGTGGAAGCAAAGCCAATCACTGGGCTGGGAAAGGGAGAGCAGTACAGCGGGACCCCAGCCTTCCCCTGTACCCCTGTCCCTCTGCCTCTGGACTGGCTCTACTTGTCTGCCAGAGGGCACCAGGTGGGGTGGTACTTTGGAGAGCCTTGCCTCTTAATCCAAGCCTGCCCGAGGGGGAGAGTACCAAAACAGGTCTGCATCCTGTTCTGTGTGGAGAAGTGTGGTCCAAAGAAGTGTGGGCCACTTAGATGTGTGGGCCCTCCATTTACAAAAATGGTGTGGGGGACACACCATCAGAATCTTGGCATAAGAAGGTCCCCCAAAGTGGCTGCTCCACTCTTCCCCACTCCCTATCCCCTTGCCCACCATCCTAGGAGTTGGGAAGTCCTTCTTCACTTCTAACCTTTGTCCTTCAAGCTGCAGCCACTGGGAGATACCAGGAGTTACCCAGGAATGGAGGTGCTGATGGCAGCAGAGTGCGAAGCTCCAGGGTGGGGCAGGAGGGTAGGATGGCAAGATGGGACGGCAGGAGAGGGAAGGGACAGCCGCCTGCCCTCTCCATGCCAGGTGCCACGTGCTGTGGTGTGGCTGGCTCCTGCTCTGCTGTTTACCAGCTGGGAGCGAGAGCAGGAGCTGGGGCCAGGGAGCCGCCCCACTGCGTCTTGGCCCCTGGCCAGCCAGCCTGTTGGGTAACCAGGAGAGCCAGGCCCAGCTAATCAAACTCTGGACTGAGGCTGTGCGGGAGAGAAGCGGCATCCAAGACCTGCACCAGCCTCATCCTGTCCTGATGCCTTCTGCAGAGCCCTTTCTCTGCATGGGCTCCAGTGTGGGCCCACTGAGTCAGGGTGGGGGGGCCTCTACTTCCTCCAGCTAGTGCAGTGGCATCTCTCCTGGCTGCTCACCTCCCATTGCTCTCTGGTCCCACACACTCCTCCAGCCCTGCAATGCCCCCAACAGACCAGGAAAATGTGGAGGCATCAGCAAGCCAGGGAATTCAGGGGAAGGACAGGGAGGTGCAGGGGCTAAGCAGCCAGAGACCTCAAGAAATTGAGGAACCATGGGATGAGTCTGACCTCATCCCGGAGAAGCAGCAAATCCGCCCCCCCCACCCCCACAGGGAAGCCCTCCCTTCCCCATCTCCTCTGTTCTTGCTGCCTCTCTTGGTCAGGTAGAAAACACACCATCCTAAAGTCACAAAGACCTGGGTTCAAGTCACAGTTCAGCCACTTACTCTCCCTGGGCAAGTCAGTAACATCTCTGAGCATCATGTAGCTTAGGGGTAAATCTGGAATAATGGTGGGTGTTGTGAGGATCAGAAAAAATCATGGACCTACATAAAGCATCTGGCAAAGGGCCCAGCACACATAGGTGGTCAATAAATGCTAGTCCCCTTCCCTTTTCTTGTTTCTCCTCCAGGTTCCAAACTCTGTTCTTCCAGTCTCTCCCCTTGTCCCCTCCTGCTGCCAGGCCACTCTGCCAGCCACTCCTTTCCCCTGCCTGCTGACAGGCCAGGTGCTCCCTCCCTGCTCCCTCCTCCCTCTCCTGGGCCCTGCTCCCTGCCCTCCTGGGCAGCCAGGGCAGCAAGGACGGCACCAAGGGAGCTGCCCCATGGACAGGGGCCCACAGAGACAGCACCGAGCCTCGCAGGGTAAGAGGCCCATGGCCCTGCAGGCAGGTGGAAAGGACTTGCCAGGAGGTTCGGAAGAGAGAGAGATTGGAAGAGTCTGGTCAAGAAGAGAGGAGGAGAAAGAGGAGGACAAGACAAGAAAAGAGGAGAGAGATGGACTGGCTGGAGATGCCGGCCAGTCTTGATGGAAACTGAAGGAGAAGCAGGAGGAGAGACTGGGGACTCAGCAGAGGAGAGCGTGGAAAGGGGGTGAAGCAGGAAACACATAGAGAGGAAAGAAAGGGAGCTGTGGAGAAGGAAGCAACAGGTGTGGGGCAGGGGTGAGGGGGGGTGTGAGGAGCTGAGCCAGGAAGGGTCAGAATGTGGGCAGGCCCTCCCCAGCACGAGCGCCCCCTGCGAGGAGGTGGCGACACTGCTGGCAAAACGGAACCTAGCCACCGCTGGAAGGCTGGCCACTCCACCCTCTGTTCACTCACCAACGGAGGGACCTGTCCTACCTTTAAGGGTGACAGACCAAGGGTCGGGGGTGGAAGCAAGCACACCCTGTCAGCTGCCCATGTCCACTAGCCTGGCACTTTCCTCCCCACTGGCCCAGGAGGGTGGGGTTTCATTTCTGCAGCAGACCGGGGCAGTGGGAGACAGAGTCAGGCAGTCCTTGGCCCCACGTGTGGTCTAACTCAGAGACCCTCTCAGAGAGGGAGCCACTGCCACATGCTTGATCAGTAATGAGCACCAAAGTGAGTGAGGCCAGCAGGCTCTGGGGCCACCTGGTGGAGGACGAAATCCACTTCCCAGGCAGGCAACTGGCTGGCTGGTGAAGGGAGCACCCCCCTCCCAGGACTGTTCCAAGGTACAGGGTTGGAGGCCAGAGAGAGGGTGCCACGTCAGGGAGGAAGCTGGGTGGGGCCAGTCAGGATCAGGGGGAGGGGGGAGGGGCCGGATGGAACCACTCCTTCCTGGGGCAATCCTCCCCCACCCCACCACCCCAGCAGAGCCCAACCCTTCTAGTCCATTCATCACCACTACCACCCCCCCCACAACCCTGCCCCGTGGAGGAAGCTGGCCAGTGGGGAGCATCTCCTATGTAGAAGGACAGTATGCAGGGGATGGTGGAGAGATGTCCAGGATTGGGCAGCGGAAGGGAAAATGTAACAGGAGAGCAGATTTGGAGATCAGGGATACTATAGGGGGCATAAGGGAGGGCTGCAGCCTTTTCTGGGACAAAAGGCTGGCCTTGTGCTCTATGAGGAGCTGCTATGTGGTGGTAGGAAAGGGACCAAGGACTGGCAGGGGAAACCTCTTCCCAGGGGCTCCCTTGGTAGGTGTTCAATAAATGCTATAAATGAATAACCACCTTCCCCACCCCACCACCAAAACCACCACTGCCACGACGCTGAAGCTAAGGCTTCCCTTAGCAGCCGCCCCTCAGAAGTATGTGCGTCCCTGCCCACCCTATGTCAATCCACCCAGGCACTCTACTTGCCTGCTGTGTACCTGCACTAGGAGTAAGAAGGGACTCCTTCCTCTGCGGGCTGGTAGACTAGACGTCTGGGAAGGCAGAATCTCCCACTTCTTCCTCCAGATATCTTCAGTGTCTTACCCTCAATCTCCACACCTCTGGAAGCCCTCGGTGCTTTCAGGCACCAGAAAGCAACCAAGAGTTTTAACTCCCACAGAGCTGTACCTCTAGTTCCAAAGTATTTACGTGCTCCTCTAATGGGCCAGCCACTATGGAAGGCTCTGGGAATAACAATGTCACTGAGACAGCCTCCCAGGTAGCGAGAGAGCCTCATTTCATGGATAATGACACAATGATAGCAGTTAGATAACCACATGGCGGTGAGTGTTGGGAAACCAAACGCAAGGGGCTGAGTGTCAGCACGAGGTCAGCAGAGAGGGGCGTGGGCAGCTTCTCCTGTCGGAAGCTTGAGCGATGAGAAGTTGGCTTAACGCTGAGCAGGGCGTCAGGAAAGGACATTTCGAGAGAAGGAATAGTTTGAGGGACTCCCAGACGTGGTGAGAAGCCTGGCACTTTGGAGGCCCTGCGGGGCAGAGAACAGAGAGATGGGTGCTGTGGAGGATGGGGCTACCTTCTGCTCAGACACCAGGTTCTGGAGGAAGGAATGGGGTAGGATAGGGGCTGTGATGGGGAGGGGTTTGTCTCCTGGTGCCCACGGTCGTCTTCAACTTCTGGCCCCGGCCCTCTGTCTTCTCTTTCCAGAGCTGCTGGCTGCAAAGAAGACCCACACCTGTGAGTAGAGGGTTGGGGCAGCCCCTGGCATGGGGTGTGGAGAGATGAGTTGAGCAGGGCTCTGGGGGTGTGCGCGAGAGAGCAAGGCTGAGAGCAGGCCCAGAGACAGGGGAGCCCAGCAGAGGTGGCAGAGGCATCGCCTAGGGAAGGAGGGGAGATAGGGAGCCCAGCAGGGGGAGGGGTGAAGAAACCTCAAAAGCAGGGTGACACATCAGGGGGAAGCCCACAGAGAGGGGGCACCACAGACACAAGGGGAGAATGATTATTAAAAGGATCCCTGGAAGATGGAGAGGAGGGGTGCTGGACAGAGGCACAGGAGCCAGTAGGGGAAAGGAGGGAGAGAGAGAGCAGAGGGAGGCAGGGGCAGCCTCGGGAACTCAGGGAGCCTGTGCCAGCAGGCTTCGTGGCAGCTGAGCCATGTTTGGTGCTCCTCTCAGTGGTTAACACGTCCTGAGGTGTGAACAAGCCAGGCTGTACAGAGCTGGAGAGCAGGAAAGCCTTCACCTCTGTAGGAAACATGATACCCAGGGACACTCTGGGCCCTGAAAGATTGAGGTTACAGCATGTGGGAAGGGGTCTAGAGCTCAGGAAGGACTTCCCAAGGATACTGGAGAGTATGTACCCTCTTTTAGGGACCTCTCAGCACAGCAGATCTAGCTCCCTAGTTTGTGGGAGAGGCTACTCTCCCAGAAAATGCACCCACCTCACTTCAGTCACAAAGCTTCTATCCCATCAGGGCCATGCATGCTGCCCTTAATAGCCCGAAGGTACTCTGGGAGAAGGCCTCCATAAGCATAAGTCCCTGAATTAATGAGGACAAAGGACCATTCTGGGGCAAGAGACCACCTGCCTTTCTCCATGGCCCTCCCTTGGATTACCAGCCAGTTCCTCCGGAGAGCTCGCTGACCCTCCTCTGGCTTCCAAGATTGCTTAGAGCCTCCCCGTTCCCAGTAGAGAAATCGCAGAGGCAACAGCATCCCCTGGTCCCTGAGCTGGGCAGACAAGGGCTGGGGGGGCATCCAGGATGCCACATCCTCCTGGGTGGGGGCTTGCTTTGCTCAGCACAATCCTGATCTGTGCCTCGCCTGCCCCTAGCCACAGGGCCCCACGGAAATGCTGAGCAGGGCCCTGGGAGGAAAGCAGGTCAAGGAGTGACGTGCTCGTGAGCTGGGGGATGGGAGCCAGGGACCATATGTGGGTGGGGAGGGAGAAGGGGGACTTTCGGAGCAGCGGGAACTGGAAGAGGCTACATGCCATTCCTATCTTAACCTCTTACCACAGAAACCTTGGCCAGGACCACGCCCCCTTCCCAGCCCAAAGGTCCTGAGCAACCACGTCCCTACCCCGAGTCCAGAGCGTCCTCTGAGAAGCCAGGGGGACAGCCCCTACCCCAATCCACTGCCCAGGTCGAGAGCCAGAGGAAGGCCAGTGGGGAAAAGCCTATACCAGGCTGAGGAGCTGCTGGAGGCCTGGCAAGATCAGAGACCTCTTTAAGAAGTTTGGTGCAGAGAACCCAGGAGAGATTGACTCCCCCAGGCTGGGAGGCTCAGAGAAATAGGCTCCAAATTGAGACAACTCCAAGGAGGGGGTTCAAGACAACCCCAAGAAGGGAGGAACCCAGGAGAGACCCCCAGACGAAGAAAGGGCTAGCTACTGGAGGGCCCTGAAAAGGGAACTCCCAGTCTGAGGTACCCCACAGAGCAGATATGAGGCTGAAAGAGCCCCTCAGAAGGACCCCCAGGCCGAAAAACTCTAGACTCACATGCCAGGAGACCTCCCAAGCTGAGACACACCCTCAAGAGCAGACTTGAACCAGAGAAACCCTGCCATTCCTGAGGCCAAACTGCCGGAGTTTGAATTCTGACCCCACCACTTACTAGCTGTGTGACCTTGGGCAAGTTACTTCACCTCTCTGTGTCTCATTTTCTTCATCTTCAAAATGGGGATAACAGTACCTTACCTCATAAAAGTATTTTGTAAGGATTAGATAATCCATATAAAACCGTAAGAAGTGTTTCTGGCACAATGTAAACATTATAATTATTATTACCCTCACCATCATCACCGCCATCATCGTTATCTGCATTCCAATTTCAGTTTTGCTCTTGAGGAAATTTCTGACAGACTAACACTTCCTGCAGATAGTGGGTATTTGTCTGATGATTATTACCGCTGCTCTTATCATTGATTCCCTAGTCCGGGGGCATGCACCACATCAGTAAGGAGGGCTTGAGCATGGTGGGCGGTGGGGCAGCCTCCCAGATCTCACCCGACTGGGTGGCTGTTGGCAGTCCACAGGGTCTCAGGTGGCACAAGCCACTTCCCCCTCCAGGAAGACATCCTGTGACTTACCTCTAGAAACATCCCTGTCCCTGGAGTCACCTGGCAAAGAGGGTCAGGCTTGGGTCCTCAGTGGGAGGGGGGAGTAGGAACCTGGCCCGGCTCCTGTGAGCTCCATTCTGGTTCCCCAGCCAGAACTACCCCGGCGGGTGGAAACAGCTTTTACCGCGTGTGGCTGTCGCATGTGGTTTTGGAATTTTCCAACGCCCCCTGCAATTGGCTGCCCCGCCCCTCACACCCTGCCCCGGGCCCAGATTGGCCACGTGGGGCGCCTGTCATCCTACTTGCTGCACCCCAGAGGGGGTGGGGATGCGGTGAGGGGGGTTTGTCACTCGGCCACCTGTGTGGTGGTGGCTTAAACCCCCCTGCCCCAGAAGAATTGGGAGAGAGCTAGGTGCAGAGCTACGAGCTGAGGCTCTGCAGAAAGGGCCTCACCCCCAACCCAGCTGCCAGCTGTGCCCCATCCCTGGACCACCCCCTGCTGAGGACAGAGAGCTGAGGCAGCGGCAAAGCCCAAGGCTCAGTCATGAGAAGTAAGTGAAGGGGGCCACCTGGGAGTGGGGAAGCCTGGACGCCATCGTCATCCCTGGGCCTCTAGAACAGAGGGGTGTCTTGGGAACAGTGTGAGCAAAGCTGAGTGCTCTTTCTTGCTGGCAGCGTGTGTCCCAGGCAAGGCCAAGGTCTGTTGGGAGATGGGTGGAGTAACTGACAAGTCTTGCTCCCTGGGCAATTTTCTTAGAGCGGGTTGGGTAATACATGGGGTTGTAGAGGAACGCCACTGTCGTGAGCCCTGGAAACGATCTGCAGGAGTATCTGAGGTGCTCTGCTCCTCGTTTAACAAGAAAGGACTGAGCCCCAGGAAGGGGAGAGCTTCGCCCCAGATCCCACTGCTGTAGCAGAGGGCAGCTGCTAACTGACAGGCACAGACCCGGACTCTCACTGCAGAGTTTCCCTCCATGCCTCCAACCTGCCTCCGAGTTGGTGAAAGAGGAGCCAGACGGCCAGAGGGGTTGCTGTGCCCCAAAGCAGCAGGACAGGGAGAGGAAAGCCAGATCAGCAGGTAGAGGGGGTCCGAACCCCACATCCAGGTCTCAACATGCGTGTGTGTGTGTGTGTGTGTGTGTCCTCAGTTTCAGTCACCCATTTGATGAGGGGGCTAGGGGAAGGGAGATGGGAGCAGAAAGACTTCAGCTTCACTCCCTTCCTGGTGTGGAGCCATGGGCCAACAGCTAGTAGGCAGATGTCTGGGGTCCCTGTGCCTTCTAGCAGAGCAAGGATGGGTGAATCAGACAATCCCTGTGTTCATGTAAGGAAAGCTAAAGAACCTCTCAGAGCAGCAGGCAAATGCGCAAAAGGGAAGCCCCATGTCCCTGTGGCCTGAGGCCTGAGGCAGCCCCAGCCTCAACCTGGGGTCTTCCCACAAACCACAGAAAAGAAGCCATATTGGGTCCTGGAAAGACCCATGGGTCGAGAGTCTAAAAACCAGGTTCTGGTGCCAGCTCTGTCACTGACTCGCCATGTAGCCTTCGGCAAGTCACGGGGCCCTGGTCTCCTCATCAACAAAACAAGAGAGCTGAACCTAAAAACAAAACCAGCTTGGGAGAGGCTCCAGTTCTAAGGACCCATGACCAAGAAGAGAGCCCTGGTCCCCGAGGTGAGCATCCCCAAGGCTGGTGAAGACGTCTCAACGCTCCCAGGACACATACGAAGAGGAGGCCATAGGAAAGGAAGAGCTTGGGACAGAGATCCCAGTGCAGGTGTATAAGCTGGGTGGGTCAGTGAGGCGAGGAAAAAAGCCAAACCTTCCACAGGAAGAGGGGCCCTTTGGAGCTTTCGTTTCCTTCTAGCTTCTTCCGATTAGCAGCAAAGGTTAGCAAACCAATCTTCCCAGAAATGACCTCCAGTCAGCAAATCCACCCTAGCGAGCAAGGATCGGATATGCTTCAGAGCTCGGCAGGAAAGCAGGAGTCCCCAGGACTGAATGAGGGAGCTTCTAGGCAGCTCCACATGATATCCCCCAACAGCTCCATCCAGGCTGGTAGATAGGAGAGAGGGGTCCCCTCCGATCTGGGACCAGATGCCACCAATGCTTCTCACTTGGACATCTCTGGGTATCTCATGGCCCTGGGTTACCTGACTGTCCCCCACTCCCGCCCCATACACACTCCTAGTGAGTGCCAGCCACCTCCATGCCTTCTGACCCTAGTCAGAGAGAGGCAGCACATTGGGGGCTGGGGACTATGACACACCCAGAGACCAAGGGGCAGACACAGACCAGGAAATAAAAAGAGGAGCAGAGGCCAGTGATGTCCTGATGGAGCTACAAATGGAGAAGTACCAGGAAATACCACCAAAACACCGAGGTATGAAACCCAAGAGAGAGCTGGAGCACAGAAGGTAGTAAGGCACACCGACACAGAGAGAGAGATGCAGAGGGAGGAGGATGGGTGGCCAAGGGGAGACGTGAAGTAATGACAGCGTCCAGGAAGGCAGAGAGAGGGAGGCATGGAGTACATGGAGGTTCGGAAAGGATGGAACAGTTCCCTGCCATGGCTACCTGCTGCTAAGTAAAGAGGAAAAGTCCATTGGCCAAACAGATTCCCCAGCCAGCCAGAGGCATGGTGGCCCCAGTCATCTCTCTCTCTCTGAGGACATCCCAG